TCCCTGGAAGCATCACCACCACTGCCAGCACCACCACTGAATTCCCTGACACTGCCTGGGGCTGGCACGGACTGTGGGCTGAGCCTGAGTAGGATGTGGAATTGGTTAGATTTGTCTGTTTTGCCTCTTTACAATAGCTACTGGTTACTGAAATGGATTCCTAAAAACAAAATAATTTCTTCAAGAAGTAAGGAAGAGTTGCTTAGGCTCTTGCACCTTCCTGTAAGGTCTCTGTTCCTGGGCTCTGAGCCATATTGAACACTGTCAGGGCAATTTCTAAACTCAAAATATTGTTTGGATTTTCACTTAGGAAATCCATCAAACTAAACACTTTACTACTTGATTTTGATGTACAATATAAGACAAATCTTCATTTATGTCTTGGAAATCAATATCACATGTTTGTAAGCACAGCTTGCAGCCAAGGTGTAGCATTTATGTACATCTGGATGTAAAACCTGTTCATTTCTTCTACAAAAGCCACTGTTAGTGCACTAAAGTCTTTGATTTCCTCTGTCACTAGTGAATAGATGGTTTTGCATGAAACCATACATGCTGAAATGTATTTCCATAGCTAAGTACTGCATGGAGAGGGTCTTCTGGATCTTTGTCCAATGCATGCATTTTCTCCACCCAGAAATAATAATGCAAATACACTTCAGCAAGTTAAAATTACTTAAATCATCCCAAATGCCTGTAATTTCTACCTTACTTGTTTGGTTATTTGCTCATTAGGAGAGAACACTGATACATTAAATGTTTCCTTGGCAAAAAATAAAAAAAAAAGAAAAAAAAAAGAAAAAGAAAATCCATTCACTGCAACCTGAATAACTTTGATTTATGAATCTCTGATTCATCCTGACAGGTGCTTAAAAATTCATGTCAAACTCTGCATTAATGTTGGCCAGAAAAAGAAAGGAAACATGTTAGGGAACAGGAGTGCCACAAAATACAGTTCCGACTGTGGGTGTGTTTAATGAAAGGCAGTGGTAGCATTTAACTTGCTAGGGAAGCATCAGTGTACATTACTAGATCCTTTCCCTTTTTTGAATCTGTTGAACAAATGTGTACTTGGGCATAAAAATGCACCTCTAACACTGATGTCTCATGATGTTGCTTCCCTTTAATTTGCATACTTCTGATGTATGTTGGAGCTTATGTGAAACTGAGATAATACAAATATTTTATTCAGAAAGGGAGAAAAGATAAATAAATTGCTTTCTTTTTCATTTATTCTCTTCCTAATATGAACATATTTGAGATTAATAACATGATTGATAAATAAATAGCATTCTCTATAATGTCTTAGAGGAATTATAAACTCGGTAAAACATTTTTTAAAAAACCAACTGATTATTATTTGTTACTGTTTTCATTATTTTTTCCAACAATGCTTCATTACAAGTGGCAATGTTTTCCAAGAAAATAAACAGGTAGCCTTAAATTTTAAAATATTAAGAGTTTGAATAAATAAAAGAAGCTGCATTCCTCTTGGAATAACAGTGTCTTCTACTTTGCATTTCAAAATAGTTTTATTTAGTATATATCCATGGCAATTTGCTTAGTGTCCTGTGTCCAGAAATATATTAAAGTTATATTAAACATAATAAACTATAACTTAATTAAACATAATTAAACACATCGTTAAAGTTTTTTACTACATGCAAGATTCAAGATAATTAAATAGTTAAGATACTACCTGTATTTTCTACTGGAAATGGGTTTGTCTCTATCTCCATTTTTGTAAGCTTTCAGGTGATTTCCATGCAGTGTTCTAGGTTGTACTGATGATGTTAAAGATCAGTACTGGATAAGTCAGCTGGACAGAGTGGTGGCTTTTGAGGGCAGTTGATTAAATTCAGTACTTTTGGCTGTGGAATTTTTCACTGTGGGTTCTTTTTGGGTATACGTGAGATTGGTGCTTTTGTTTTCCTGTAGAATGAATTTAAATTTTTTATTTTTTTTTAAAGACAAGGAAAAGAACAAAGGAAGCCATGTGGCCAGCTAAGCCCTACTCCAGACAATTTTTCTCTTGGACTGCATGAAAATTACTGGCATGGCACCAGTGCCCTTCTCAGCCACTTTGAGACTTGGCAAATTCTCCTTAGTCCATTAGGGTAATGGTTGCATTAACCTTTCGTAATAAATAGGTATGAGAAGAGTTGCAAGGCCAGATTTATCTTGACTGCTGGTGGTGGACTCTTGGTAGATAAAAATAAAGGGGAATAACTGAATAAAGCTGAAAAACAATAATGCTTTATAAAAGAGTTTCCAGTCGTGGATATCTAAAATTCCTGACACAGCCAAGCTGTTGATCCCCTCTATTCATTGACTGACCTGTTCATAATCAGGGAAATGTTATGATGGAAAGCATCATGAGAGGAAGAGGGGTGGTCTTTGCATTTCTGCTCTGAGACTTGAGAGAGGGGGGTTCTGTTCCCAGCTTCACAGTAGATTTCTGTGAGTAGCAGCAGTCTGCCACACCTATTTCAGTACCTCTGGTTGATCCAGGCACCCAAGCAGAATTTTATAAAGTTTCCACCACAATTAGTGTTTTCTGGTGAACACCACTCCCCTGCGTATATCCAAAGTCCTGCCAAACACCTCATGGCCTTCAGCATCCAAATCCATTTGAAAACCTGGTGTTTATACCTCCTAGCATTTATATACTAGGAGGTATAAATTTTATATGCTCTTTATACCTCCTAGGAGTTTTTAGTGAAGAAATATCTGAGCTGGACTTTGAAGACTAGGATACAGTGCTGCACTGCTGAAACTCACATTGGATACAAGCTTGGAGGGAGAGGGATGGTGTTGAAAATGCAAGTCACCCTCCTGTGCCTCCAGTTGTGGCCGAGTGATCCCATCTCCATTAATGTCCCTATGAATGCAGTGCATTCTCCTCCTGCCACAGTCAAAATACAGATAGCCATGGGATTAGCAACATGTCAGCCAGTTTCCTGGGATTTCATCTGAAATTCTGAGGCCCCACCCCAGCATAGCTCTTTGAGTTCAGACACCCGCAGTTTGTACCTTTCTAAATGCCAGATCATTATAATTTCATTTGCTGTTGTTCCTAGCACATTTTTACATTATATTACACCCTCTCTGTCCTTAGCTACTTAGAACAGTTGGGTATTGCAAAACATAGTTTAGGTGTAAAAATAGTCTATGTGCTTGTTTCGTGTAGTGAAAGGACAGAATATCCCTAATATTAAACTGTAAAGCAGTGTTAGTTTATTTGTGAGGCCATAAAAGGCATTTAACAACCTGGTGAATCCCAGATAATTTCAGACCATATATTTCATGTATACAGGGAACATAAAATTGTAAAGAAAAGAAAACAGTTTCAGCAATGTGTGATGCAAGTAACATCAAATAGTGCTGTACAGAAAGGAAAACTGGTGTGGAGTCGAGGGTAGCTGTATCAGTGGAGGGGCCACTTCACAGGGTGATGACAGAAGGCTTGGCAGGACTATAGGAAGTCCCTGTTTCATCCCATTAGTGGGATTTTGCTGCCTCAGCTGTGCTGACTTGCATCCTTGTAGGGCCATGCTGCACACTGTATCAGGGGCTGATCTGGACTGCAGAGGCAATTTTTTGTGGAATTAGACAGTGCTCTTGACTTTAAACTTGTATCAGTTGGAAAGTTGAACTCCCAGCAAAAGTCCCAAATTTCTGTATGGGTTTGGGCTGTGGGGAGCCACTGGGAACTGTTGAGCTGCTCTTTGGTTGCCAGCCTGGTACAAGAGTAGTGATGCTTTGGCACATTCAGGTTGTGAAACCATGTGGGAATCTGTGATTGAAAGTGTTTCTGATCTGAATGCAGAGTTTGGAGGGCTTTCTCTGACAGACTCACGACCCTGCAAAACAGACTGTGATAAATGTATATGGAGTGTTGGATGCCATGTGCCTCTCTTTCTGCAGTGTTTACAGCAGTATCATCCAGATAAACCTCAGTAGTGCTAAGAAATCTGTGTTTATGTCAACCCATGGAACACATTTTATGTATCTCACCAGGATTAATATGTAGAAACACACTGTGTAACTGGTTTCAGTTGAAACCTTCACCAGATCCATCTGACTTCCTTCTTGGTAAACAGGAGAGAAGCGCAGAAGAAAGCACAGCTCTCTCGTTACTGTTTTGCCAAACTGGACAAATCAGAGGGCTGGGCAAACACCAACTGTAGGAAGTTCAAGAGGGGCAAGTGCCAAATTCTGCATCTAGAATGGGCAACCTTGGGTGTACAGACAGATTGGGGAGTGAGAAGCTGGAGAGGGTCCTGGTCTATGGAAAGTTGAATGTGAGTCAGCAGTGCCCTGGGAGCCAGGAGAGCCAACCCTGTCCTGGGGGGCATCAGGGACAGCATCGCCAGGTGGGCAAGGGAGGGGATTGTCCCGCTCTGCTCTGCATTGGGGCAGCCTCACCTCAAGTGCTGGGGGAAGTTACGGGTGCCACAATATAAAAGAGACATTAAGCCATTAGAGAGGGTCCAAAGGAGGGCCATGAGGATGGTGAAGGTCTTGAGGGAAAGCCGTATGAGGAGTGGCTGAGGCCACTTGGTTTGTCCAGCTTGGAGGAGACTGAGGGGAGACCTCATTGCAGTTATAACTTCATCAGGAGGAGAAGCAGAGAGGCAGGCACTGATCTCTTCCCTCCAGTGAGCAGCGATGGAACCCAAAGAAATGGCATGCAGTTGTGTCAGGAGAGCTTTAGGTTGGATATTCAATAAAGATTTTTCATCCAAAGGGTGGTTGGGCACTGGAACAGGTTCCCCAGGGAAGTGGTCACAGAACCAAGCCTGACAGAGTTCAAGAAGCATTTGGACAAAGTTCTCAGGCACTTAGTGGGATTCTTGGGATGTCCTGTGCAGGGCCAGGAGTTGGACTTCAGTGATCTTTGTGAGTCCCTTCCAACTCAGGGTACTCTGTGATTCTATGATTGCCTTTTGGTGATCACTTGTTTTACTTCAGGTTCCTTTTCTCTCTCTGTCTGATAGGCTTAGAAGATGTTGTAGCAATAATGATCCCTGAACCCAAAGGGAAAGAGATAGTGAGCCTCCTGGAGAGGAACATTACTGTGATGATGTACATAACCATTGGGACACGCAACCTGCAGAAGTACGTCAGCCGGACCTCGGTGGTGTTTGTCTCCATCTCCTTCATTGTGCTGATGATCATCTCCTTGGCATGGCTGGTCTTCTACTACATCCAGAGATTCCGCTACGCAAATGCCAGAGACAGAAATCAGGTGAGCAGGGCTGGAGTAACTATGTTTAAAAAAAATCACCACAGGATTTATTGTAGAAGTAAAAGAAATTGTCCATGTGTAGTAAAAACAGAAAACCAAAATAAAACCCAAGAAATTGAAAAGAATAGGAATATAAAAATGACTGTGGCTGGGAAACGCTAAGACTTTGTCAACAAACATGGGATTCAAGGAAAAAAAGATATTAATAGTGTATGTATACTATGGAGTTTTTTCCTTATGCAAAACACAAAAAATAGACAAAGGTGATGTTTGTTTGTGAAAAGTTTGTTTTGATATATACATATAGCTAAATGTCATAGCAATGTGTCTAACTAAGGAGCATTGAGATCAAAATGCTGGCTAAAACACCGTGAGGTATATAAGTGTGAAGCAAGTGTTCATGATAAGTGAAGAAAGGAAAGGAAAAAAAGTATTATCACTTTAATGCTTCCTTAGAAGGGACTTGGGCTAGAAAGACAAGCATGTCCCTCTTCATTTGACAATGATCACTGAACAGCACTGTAGTGATAGCCACCAATGTTACTAAACCACTGCTATTGGTTTTGGCGTCTTGCCTAAACCCCTTGAAAGAGATAAAAAGCCTATACAGCTGAAAAGAAGTCAGCACCAGTGGTTTTATAAAGCACTGTCCATCTTTATGTTGGTTCAGCAGTGAATAATAATAGCAACAATAATAATAAATTTCATATTTTATTGCCTGGATCCAACTATCTCAGCAGAACTGGGAAGCTGAAGCTTCTACATTTCATTCTAATGGTACGGTAGAAAATGTTATCAGTCTATGAAATCTGAAGAAATAACCATTTTAGTGCAGGAAAAAAAAATGCACTGTAATGCAGAGAGGTTTCTGAACCCTCAATAAATTACTGTCAGGGCCAGGAGCGTTGCCTTGCTTATTCTGCAGGAAAGATAAAACTCAGAGTATGAATAATCATCTTGTAGAGAAAAGCACAGCTTTTCTACAGATTGTGTAGAGTTACACACTCTGTAACAAACACTTGACATGTAGGAATCCCTCACCTTCTCCCATTGAAATTCAGTCATCCTCTGAGATAGAGAGCAGCTGCTCTGTGTTTACAAACAGAAAGAATGTATTTCCCTTTTAAATGCAGTCTGAAATTTTGGATAGCAAGAATGAGACTATCCCAGCTGGAATCTGAACATCATTGGCAGCAGATTCACTGTGACTGCAACGGCTGTGATAATTTTTAGATGCTTTGTCTGCAAAAGCACATGCATGCCTTATTTGTTTGTGTAAGTGTGCTTTCAATCAACTAATTATACAGGCAGCTTAGCAATGTAAATAGACATACATAAACATGAAACTCAGCAAAATAAGAAGCTCATTCAGGTGATATGTTATAGTTTGAAACTGATGTGTTTATATGTTCAAACATATATCCTTTTCAGTATTTTCTTTCCAAAGTTTGAATGAGACCAACATCTACACAAGCAGTTGTCCTATGGAGGGGTTTTAATAATTTGGTTATTATACTAGTTCTGTTCTTTAGAAGAATTAGAAAGCATGCCTCCTAAGTAATTACATATTATTAATTTTGGGGGCAAAACTGGACAATAATAAGGGGCAACCTAGAAAGTCCTCATGCACTTTTCTTCTTACAGTTTTGTCTGACATCTAGTCTCTTTATTAGCTCTTTTCATATGAAAAATGGTAGCAATATACAAACAAAACTATGATTTATGTTAATGGTTTGCTGTGGCTTTTTAGTTTTGTTTCTTTTAGTCCTGGCTATGGCATATAATGAAGTAGGTAGTTCAGAAGAGCTGAGCTTGCTCTTGCCCTTCCCATGAGTGCTCTTCTCTGTTTTCCATCAAGTTCTGGATTTTTTTTTCCTTTGACACATTTTCTTGTAGTTCAAGGATGGGATCACAATAAAATCATAGTGTCCTTTTGTCAAGCCTCATAAATACTTTTGTCTAGTCCTTCTCTATCTGGTGATTCTCCTTTCCAGGTCTGCTTCCCTTCTTTCTGGGTGTAAGTTTCTGAGCAAGCAGGAAATCCAAAACAAACTGATTTAGTTTTCCATCAATAAAGCAATGAATCCAGCTATTGAGAGAGGGAGCTAGAAAGACTGAAAACTCTTCTGGAATAATTTCACGTGACTGCACAGTGAAATGAAACCTGGACATAATCCATCTACATCTTCAGCCACCACTCTTCCTCATCATGTATGCAAAATCTAAGTTCACATGCCAGAAGGAAGACACAGCTTACTCTAATTAGGTGCCTGATTTTGATGAGTGGAGAACCAGGATTTCAAAGATTCTTCCTGAATGCCAGGGCCTATTCATCCCAACTTGGCTGGGAATTAATGTAGTAGAGCACAGAATTGTCTTCTACTATGGGCTTGTGCACCTATAGCCAGGGTGTCAGCTACAAACATCTGAGGTATCAATTTTTATTTTAATACATTTAATTTTTAAGGGTACCTCTTAAAATTAGATAGACAGACAACTGTACTTTACATATGGAAGTAGAAGATAGGTAGTAATATTCACATGATTGAACCCCTTTTTTCCCACCTAACAAGATGTCCAGGAAGTCACCTGATTGCCCTGATAATGAATCCTTTTGACATGAAGAGGATAAATTTGTATAAGAAAATCTGTTTCCTCAGCAGCTTGTTCCTGGAGGTCTCCTGAAGATGAGAGAGTTGAGAGAGTTTGTAAAAGGCTGTGGAAAATGTTTAAATCAAGAAACATGATATTGCAGAGCTAATTAGAAGCAGTTTTGAATTACATGGCAAGTTCCAGAGATATTTCAGCAAAGTATGACCTGATGTTACAGCCCTGTAACAGCCAGACTTAACAACAGACTTAAAAACAACAACAGCAACAACAAACCAACCCTGTCAGTGTGTCAGATTTCCTATTTCACCAGTAATAATAGAGTTCTCTTTTTATTGTTTATGACGTGGGAAAATGAAGAGGGAATAATGTTCCAGTGCCAGACTTACATTTCTTCCATGTCCCTTCTTTCCATTGGCTTCTTGTTCAGAGGAAATTTTCTACAAAGTCATTTTGAAACTGGTTGGTCTCCTTAAGTTTTGCAGAATAGTGAAAGCCAAAGCAAGTAGAGATTGAACTGGAGTTGAGGAGGATCTTGTGTGTCCTAAGTTAATCTTTAGTATGTGACTGTCAGCATGTGGAGCATTTATCTGAGAAGGAAGACTGGTGGCTGTGGCTTGGAATGAGAGTTTTGGCCCACTGAATAGGGATGTCAATCTTTGAAGCAATTTGGGAAGATGCTTCCCATGGCGGAGTCTGCAAACTTTGTCTGTGGATAGATGTGTCCGATACCTCATGTTGGTGATGTGTCTCATTCTGAACAATGCAAAATATGATCTCCTTGCAAAGGTGGTCGTTTAGTAAGGCCATTAAGAGAGAAGCACTTAACTGTAACTTCTCTTCCACAGCATTTACACTCATTTACTTTCTCAGGAACACAGAAGTGTTGCTTTCCATGGATTTGTCCTTCCTTTTTAATGTGCATTGCCATCTCCTGTAGACCTCTGCATCTGATATGCTTAACTCCTTCCAGTCCAGTACTGAATGTTGCAGCCTTGCTAATGAGATTATGAGATTTATGGCTGTAAACCTCTAAGCCTCACTTTAAACCCTTAAACTGTTCTCATGCCTCTTATCTTTTAGGAAAAATCATTGGTTATTGATAGTATGCCTTGCATTCAAGTGGGAGAATCCTTTGAAAGTATGACTTTTCAAAAGCTAAATTACTCTCATTTACATGTATGTTATGAACTTATCTGTTTATGATAGATAAGAGAAAGAAAACATGAAAGCAGGCAGATCAACGATGTACATGAGTTTTTAATCTTGTCCTTTCCCCTTCAAGAACGTGCAAAATAGAACTGAGACATTTCATTCATTAAAGTAATACTAATGATAAAAAAGGATCACAAGCATTTTCTGAAGCATGACATAATGGCTCTTGTCTTGCTGTATGTTATCAGTCTGTCTTTGATTTACATTAAAGAACCAAATAGCTAACAAGAAAGGTTTCCAACTCTCATTTGATTCTTTTATTTGAGGGAGACTGTGAGAAAAATGGACCACAGAAAGAGATGTTTTATAGCTACAAGATAATCCTTCACATTAAATAATTAAGTTGCTGGAAAGCTCATATGTAAATCTCCTGATAGCCAAGATTATTTTGACCTCTTTAGCCAGATGTGAAATTGGACTCTGCTTTCAACATTGCAGGTATTTTGTCAGCCTTTCCAATCCAATAAACTTGCTCTCTAAATTTAATCCAGTGATTTTAATTGAATCTGAAGACCAAAGTGGTCATTTACTGGTCATATCTCTGTGGTGATTAGGTCAGTTTATAAACTACCTCAAGCTTCCATCCGTTTTTGGCCTCATGCTCTCACCCCCTCCAGCTGGAAACCTTCCTGCTGACAGGCCCCTCTGAACTCTGGCACAGGAGTTTCCCAGCTCAGAAAGTTGAATGTCTTCTGAGTCACAAAAGGCCCTAAATTCTCTCTAACAACACATGGCTGGAAATGTGGTTGGGGAGAGGAGGTGAAAGGAAGAGTTCAACTCATTTATTAGTGGCAAATTGGAACATGCTATATCATAAACTGTTACAAAGAAGACATTGGAGTGGACATTGCTGCATGAAACCATGTGTGAGGCATAGAACAAATGGCAAGTGCACAAAGGAGGGTCACCAGAATGACCTGGAAGCAAAAGCACATGGCATCTGAGGAGGGGTGAAGGGAGCATACTAAACTGAGTGGGGAGCAGAGGAGGAGGAAGGGCTCTACTTCCAGCTGCAAAAAGGGTGGTCAGAGAGGAGTCAGAATCAGCCTCTTCTTGGAATTGCACAGGGTAGTGGTCACAAATTACCAGCAGGGGAAATTCCATTAATATGTTTAGAGAAGAAAAAAGACTGAGATTGGTTAAGCACTAGTACAAATTTTCCACAGAGGTTGTGAAATCTCATTTCCTGGAGATATTTAAAACTTGACTAACACAGCTCTGACTTTGAAGTTGACCCAGCCTTGAGCAGGGAGTGGGAGTACATGACCTCCCAAAGACTTCCAGCCTGTGAGTCTTTCTCCAGACTGCCTTGTTGCTGGATTAGCACAAGTGAGCAGCCAAGTCCTTGGAGCACTGATACAGGAACAAGCTCCATGGCACAGGATTGTGTGATTGTGTGAGCTACCCCACAGTGTTCCCATCCTCTTGCAAGGAGTGGACATGTCCATGTTCAATGTCTGAGGACAGGGTGTTTTGTGTCAGGCTGTTATTACATACTTTAATCCTGGTGGCTGTGTCCCTGCCAGCACGATAACAGTGTTTTGGAAATATGGGAGAACAGTCAGACAGTCAGAAACGTCACGTGGTAATCACTTTATGGTCCACTGGAGGGAATGATAGAAAGGCAAAGAATGAGCAAATGGTTATGTATGAACAGGATGTTACTACAAGACTAGATAGTGCTTTACCTGTAAGAAAATGCAGATGGTTCCACCTCATTTTGATAAGGTAGGCAGCTCTGTATTTCAGGAAAAAAGACAGGACAGATTATTCAGAGTTTTTGTGATTAAAATTAACAGGTCAATTAACTTTCAGAGGTTGCATCCTACTGAAGATCATGAACTAGTTATGGAACAATGTAAGAATAAAGTTCAGCATTCACTCTGCTAACTGCCCAGTATTTTTTTTTTTAATGTGTCATTAAAAAAAGAGAGGGAAGAAGTAGGATATTCAAATAATGCACTTGTTACCTACATTGGTATGCACTGCTGCAGTATACCACACCTACGGTGCCCTTATTGTGATCTATTATGTTTATATTTGTACACTATCCTGTTCCATGCACTTAAAATTATTAAGAAGCTTAGAGAGAAAAAGTTTTGATTTCTGCATGAAGAGATGCTCTTTGCTTAAGAGCAAATTTTGTATTGCAGCGCCGGCTTGGAGATGCTGCGAAGAAAGCAATCAGCAAGCTGCAAGTCAGGACGATCAGGAAAGGTGATAAGGTAATTTTTCAAAATGCTCGTTACTAAATGAAACTTTGTGCTAAGGATTCCTTCAGACCTCTGGGACGATGAGGCAGAAAACAAATGCCAGTTGCTTATTTAACTACTGTGTTTGTTCTTCAGATGGGGGAGGAGTGCTGGTAAGCAAGTTACGGATGGAATCAAGTGGGGAGAGAGGGTGATTTGGTTAAAGATGCAGAAAATTCTGAAAGTTAAAACATGCTAACTAAATCTGTATGCTTCTCAGTGCAAGTTTTAGGCTGGAAACATGTAAGAAAATCTGACTTGCTAGTTTTGAAATGTGTTACTGGATTTGCAATCTGCTTCAGTGACTGTTTTACTTTGTCACATAGGCTCTTATATGAAGAGATTAGCTGACAAAATAAAAAATGAATATGATGAATATTCTCTTTCCTGTAGGAGACTGAGCCAGACTTTGATAACTGTGCTGTTTGTATCGAAGGCTACAAGCCCAATGATGTTGTCAGGATATTGCCTTGCAGGTAAATTGAAGGTGCTTTTAGCTCTAATAGTCTCTACTTCAAGACAGTCTCTGTTCTCAATTTCACACTGATGAGATTACCTGAGAACTTGGGGAGGGAAGGGTGAGTTTATTATTTTGGCCTATTCATAATCTGTTAGTAAAGATATCTGAAATGCCTCTTTATTCAACTTGAAGTGAAACTAGTGTTGATGGTGGTGAGACCCTGAGAGTCTAGTATGGTAGTCAGAAATTTTGTCTGACCTGGGCCTATAACAAAGTCTTCAGTAGGATTTTTAAACTAAAGTTTTGATTCATCTGTTTTCCTCACTGTTTTTAATTAGAATAAATGCCTTAGGAGAATTTGCCTCTGACTTGAAGGTGAGCCCTGGCCACAGCAGCCAGGGATAGAACAGGCTCCTGCTCCCCCTTGAGCTACTTCTTTTGTTGTCTTGGGCCTGAGAAAAGGATGACTTTTGTCAAAAAAAATCCCCATGTGAAGATACCCTGTGCAGGACATCCACCCACAGTGATGTGACATAGGAGTGCACCCTCTTCCCACCCCTAACAACTGTGTTCATCTTTGTGCTATTGTATTGTCATTTCTGAAGTGTTACCTAATGGAGAATTTCTCTAAGGAAATTAATTTCTTAGGAAATTTCCTAGGATCAGTTACCCCTAGGAGAGCAACAGCAAGTGTTTGATTTCCCTAGAAATACAGATCTGAAGGCTGTACATATAGAGATTTTATTTTTTTCAATAGAACATCTTTCTTCTCCTGAGTCATGTTCACTGGCTTGAGAAACCAAAATACTTATTTATTTTTCTGTTATGTTGTACCCTAGTAGATATTTGAATGATACAATCTGTCCATTTCTGTTAGTTCATGTGATTCATTAAATCTGTTTACTGGCATCACTAAATGGCTAACAGATTAATCATAAATTTGACCTACTGTAAATCCCCCACAATGACAAATTGCATGTGACTTTTTTTTTTTTCTGCAAGCAGACACGAACACATCACTTCATGTAGCAGAAATACAGAAAAATGAGAAATTCCCAGAAAATGTGGACCTTAGTTTGGCATCAAACCTGTTTGCATGGAAGTAGAATAAAGCTTGGAAATTTTGCATGATACAGGCAGGTAGTTTTTAGAGGTAGATATACAACAGCTTAAATTTATGTCTAAGCTTTAGCTTTCACTTGTGTCCCACCTCATAATTCAATGAGCCTTTGTCATCTACGGTGTTGTATCAAGCAGAGTGAATAGGAAACACAGAGTTAACAGGTGGCATTTAATTCTTGGATGACTTAGAAGGTCGCCCAGAAAATGATTCATGCTAAAAGGGTAGCAGTAGCAGGACTGTCTTGTAAAATACCCACAGTTTGATCCTTAGTTCAGATCCTTAGCAGTTTGGAATTATAAAAACTCAAAGATCTTTCTCAAGCAGCTATTTCACCAACCCTGGCTTTCCCACTATACAAACTGTGAGGGCAGTGTTTTACATACTTGCAGGGGTTTGAACTTCTGAAACATGAGATGGTATTCATGATTCTTTCTGCTGTTCTCAATCTCATCTCCACATCCAAAACAAAAAAGAAAGTGGATTAATTTCTGTTTCTGTGAAGTGAATAGGAGTGTGTTATATCTTGCTAAAGACCTAGAGACTGTAGTTTTCTTGCTCTGGCATCCTCAGTTAAGCTGTGTTTCTAACATGTGAACCTCCAGTATAGCAGTGGATGAGCTCTGAAGTCAAATAGATACATGTTTACTGGGACTTGGGCTGTTTTCCCAAATGTCCTCTCTTTCCTGTTGGCACTGGGATAGCTGTTTTTATGTACTCTGGAAAGTACTACTCTGTAAAGTACTACTCTGGAAAGCTCAAGGAGAATTCCAAGTGAATTTGTGCTTCTTACTTTCTGTCTTCATCAGGCAGCTCCCACAACTGACTGTAGTAATAAACTTCACTCTACAGAGTTTATTAAATAAATAAGGAATGACACTTGGTAAAAATAAAAAGCGTTGACTTGCAGCTGGTTTTATGTTTAATGGAAGCAAACATCTCTGAAGTTGTCTTTAAGGTCACTGAGACAAGATCAAATGTAACCAAGTGCATTGTTCCCAGAGTGGCATCTCTTGTCACAGCCCTATTTCACTCTGCTTGTCCTCAATCTACAGCTTTAAAACGCTGTTGTCTTTTCTGCTATTGCTTTGGAGAAGTTACTGGTCCTGCTGCTCCCAATGCGTGCATTTTACTAAGCTTTTACTAACTTTACTAAACTTCTATAGAGAGGCAAGACATTTCTTTCAACCTTATCTCTGCTGGGTGCCTCATAAGCTCTTTTTTTTGCTGTTTCATTTTTTTCACCAATAAACACATTCTCTGACTTCATTCCAGCTCATTCTTTTCCCCTGAACCTTCACTCCATGAACAACTGTGATTTCAGAGAGTTTTCACTCCTACTTTCTCATTTTATTAGCTTCCTGTGAAAATTATTGCATCACACACATACCTCCCTTTGATTCCTTCCTCTCACCCTCATCATCATCTTATTTTGTCCTCCTCAGAAGTAAATAATACTGTACATGCAACCCCCAAAATCTCAAACCTTCTTATTGGATACTACAGTGCTACTAAGTCTCTCACAAAAATTCTAAATCCCTTACTTCAGATCTATCTCTAATCCAGGCAACTGATGCTCTTATTTAGGGTTATCAGGGATGTACCTCTCTTAACTGTATGGGTGAGACTAAGAGTGGAAGGTGGGAGGAGAACCATTTTCCTTAATCTGGAAAAAAAGCCTCTCAAAATTGTTGTCAAGCTGAATGCTTTACAATAGCTGTACTATAATAATTATTGCTATTGTTGTTATTATTATTATACTTTTAGGCTGAGTGCAACATGATTTTTTTTTTTCTTGTATTATCTTGGCTGAAATTGCATCTTTAAGGAAAACAAATACATTTCAAACAAAAGCAATGTCCAGTTTAAAAATGTGAAGTGCTATTTATATAATAGTAAATGGAATGCTCTGGGACTTTGAGGTTCTTTTGCTTTGTGCTCTGTGAGCTTTGCACAGCCATGTGTAGCCACAGGAGAGTACAGGAGGGATCCCAGGAGGCCACCACCGTCAGGGTGGTGGACAGCACAGGGGCACTGGCACGCATGTGTTGTTGTTGGCAGCTTTTTCCAACACAATGCAATCTCCTGGGATGAAGACTGCAAATTCCCCTGACAATTTATTGCAGTGCTTCATTACCTTGACTGTTGCAAAGCCTTTCTTATTGTGTAACCTGGATCTCACTTGCTGTTGTTTAAACATCATCATTGTGCTTCTTATTCCTGGGAGAGGTGGAGAACGGTTGTTTCCTTTCCCTTATGAAAACCTTTTCATATGAGGCTGTGACAACATCTCGCCTTCCTCTTTGTCAACTAATCAGTTGCAGTTATTTTGGAAACTTTTCAACCCTTCCAAATCAACCTATTTTTGCAATGAATGTGGTTGCACACAACAAGGAAAAAAACCTGTATTTTTATCTAGCTTTGACTTTGATTGTCAAAGCCATGTCCTGAGCCTGAGCTTGAAATATCTCTTATTGTCTCCTTGTATGGGTCATTAATTCTGAAATCATCCATGATGGCTCTGTCCTCTCCTTCCATTTAAAACTTGCATCAGTCAGAACTGCAAAGGGAGTTTTTCTTGCAGTTGATCTTTTTACATCTTTGCCATGTGACAGTGAAGTATTGCAGTTGCTCTCATCTTGCTTTATGCTGACCCTTCTTTTGCTTGAATTTGGAACATAAAAAAATTGACAATTTGTTGAATGCCATAAGCATGTACTGTACATAAGTACATAAGTGCTGTACCTAATAAACTTTCAAATCCAAATCTGCAAAGCCTGCCACCTTGCTTTTTTGCACAAATGTTTACATGTTCAAACCATATTATAAGAACTCCAGTTGTATAATGCAGTACAAAAATTTTAAAAGGTAAATCTTTGTCTGATTTTCAGTAGCATTCCATTATTCAGTGGACTTCTGTCAAATAATCAAGTTCCTCCTGTAGTACATATTAAATCTGAAATTAATGGAGTCATAATACCCTGTGCTAAATTAGTATTGAGAAGTGTAAAATGACAAGATCTGTCATGTATTTAAATTACTTGGCATTGTTAGGATTTATTTTAGAATATTGTTTTTGAAGCCAACTTTAGGAACACTGAACTTCAGATTTTAAAGTCTTTAAGGCATGAAAGTGATCCAAGCTTTTGATGATGAACAAATACCATGAAATTCTCTAATATGAATCCCAGTTTGACTGAGGCTTTCAAAGCTGAAAATTGAAAATGAAAAGGGATTTTCTGGTCTATCGTAGAATGTCTTGGTGGAAACTACATATTTTTTATTCAAAAGAGATTTTGGAAACCTGTTTTGTTTTGTTTTCTGAGAGATTAATAAATATCTCAGGTTTTGTAAATGGACCGATGATTTTGGCACAAATGTGCTTCAGATGTTTGCCAATTAACATACTTACGAATTTGATTATATAATTAAAGAAAACCAATCACTAAAATAATTTCATCATTATTTCATGTAGCTGAAAGGCAAGACATAAACTTCCAGTACCCTCTGAATTAACAAACTCAAGAAAATATGTTCGTTAAACTTTTAAATGTAAAATTACAGATGCCTAGGAACTGTATCTTTATGCTTTCACCTATTCAGAATGCTTGTCTAATGATATTCTGAATATGCCCCTCCTAAGACTGAAGGAAGGAAATGTTGAGCAGGACAGAGATCAAAATCTCGTTCATTTGTTGTTATCCATTAGGTCAGGTCTTGTTTGGAAGGACAGCTGTGAACTTTAATAAAGTGGTGGCTTAAGCTTCAAATATCACAATGCTTCATTTGATTAATCATGTTGACATACAGGATAAAATGATGTTTGATACCCCAGCCAACTGATGTAATTAGACTAGATCAAGCTTCCAAGAATATGTTTGCCCTTTCCCATAGTTGTATGAAGTGATACAAAGCGCAGGAATGCAGTAATTTGCTGTGTAGTGACACAATATATCTGCTGACCCATTCAGCTGAATAAGTGCCCGTTAAATATTTGGAGTTACTTTGGTACATTAGGTGACTGGCTTTCTCAGAGATTGCATTTCCTTGTAGAGACTAGTATGTGCCGTGCTTCTTGCAGGGATTATACAGGTATTTGAGTGATTCAAGTCTAACAATAGATACAGCACGGCCAAGCCCACCACTAAAGCATGTCCCCAAGTGCCACATCCCCACGTCTTAAATACCTCCAGATATCACTTCCCTGGGCAGCTGTTCCAACGCCTGACCACCCTTTGGGTGAAGAAATGTTCCTTAGTATTCCTAGTAACAGAATAAGCTCTCATATCTGCCAGTCAGGTAGACACACTCAAGATCTCCATAGTCATTATCAGTTTTTTAAAGGCAAAGCTAAATAAGAAACATTCAGTTCCTCCACCTGATTAATGTCTAGGAAAAGTGGAAAAGCTCAGGATCTACAGGGCTCAGGTAGTTGCTTAGTGGTTGCTTCAGAATCAGAACAGGATTAGCAACAATTCCTTCAGGGAATTGTGTAGGAGCTCTCTCTGATGGTCAGCTTCTAAAGACCAGGGAAGTCAGAGAGAATATTTTTAAAAGCATTGTACTGGGGTTTTTTCTGTTTAAATGAAAAGTATATTTTTCTTTTTTTTTTTCTAATTCAGTTTTTATGCCTCTATCCTGAAAAATACTAGACCCTCATTGGCTTCACATTTAAATTATGTATAACCAGGTTTGTCTGTAGAGCTATTAAGAAAAACTAACATGATTTTTACCTTTACCAGCAAGCATCTTTTGTTTACTGACAGCTTTTAACATTTAAAGAATACGGGGTTTTCTAATGTTTTTTGCATATTTTCCCTAGGTCTCTAAATATGTAGTCTTCTATTTCAAATACATTGAAATGTCCACATGTTTGAGTTACTGCAGGAATCATTTTAGCATTGTGTGCATATGTCTTAGTTCTGCAGTCCTTGCAGAGGTCACAAACTGCACCAGTTGAAATACACTCACTTAAAGGAATTCAGAATAATCTGGTACTAAGTGGTAAATTGTGCTGTGGTGCATTTGAATTAAGATATCCTGGTTTTCATTGCAGGCATCTTTTCCACAAGTCCTGTGTAGACCCCTGGCTGCTAGACCATCGTACCTGCCCGATGTGTAAAATGAATATTCTAAAAGCTCTAGGGATACCGGTAAGCACTTTGCAGACCAGCCCATCAGGGCAGAAGAGAAATACCAGCCACATGAGTATATCGCTAGCCTTTGCCTGTTTGTTCCCGTCTTACTATTTTTGCCACATTATTGAATAATTAATTGATTTATTAAGGGAAGTACAATTGGAAATGTCTGACTCTATCTCTGTCCTGCACCTCACTCGTATTAGCAAGGAAGAGCATGTACATGAGGGTAGGTTGAGTGTTGGGATTTGTGTGTTTGTGGCTGCCTGCTTGGTGGAGCAGAAGATTGTTCACTGGTGTTTTGGTGGATTTATAGAATCTTTCACATAGCTTTCAGGACCAGATTTATTTTTTTAATCATGCCCTCGGTTCAAATCTGAAAGCAGAAAGTCTGCAAATAAAATTTTCTCTGCTATACTCGTCAAGGACAACTAATTGCTTCTGTGGAAACAAGTCCTTTTTCTGTCAGATTTCTCTTAAAGTCTATCTGAAGCAAGATCTGTACTCCTAATTAAGGGCCATTTCTCCCAGTTACTAAGCATGTGGTGGAGCACATGACATACAATAAATTGTTAAGCTGTTTGTTATCTGGAACATTCAAATGTAGTTAGAAACTGCCAAAGGTAACTGGCAGTTTCTAACCACATTTAAAATCTTTCTAAGTCACATGTTTACATTCAGATAGTGTATGTCGTGTCTGTCATACAGTTTCCCAACTGGAGCTATCACAGAGCTCAGAGGCTTCACCAGGAGGGAGTGAGTCACTCTCCCCCACTGTGCAAGGCTTGTGAAGTTCAATACTGAAACACCTCCAGCTGATGCATTAAGAAGTGCTGTAAATAGCCCCCTGAGTTTCAGTCAGTGATGCACCAGCTCACATTTGAAAGAACTATATAAAGTAAAACAGCTCACATGAACATACTGTGGAGCTGGTACAGCCATTCTCAGAGAACTCAGTTTTATGGAGACTGGGAAGTAGGTTGCAGGCAGATATGTTAATAAACCTAATATAATCCAAACTGAAAACATGCAAGGTGGAAAAAGAAGCAGGGCATTGTAGCTAGAGTAATGCATCAAAACAGCTTTGCTACTTTTTCTACTAGACATGTATATTGTCTTTAGTATATTGAGAGGTGATGCAAGTGTTAATCAGTGCTTGAGATGAAAAGCCAGAATGAAGGCTAGCTCTGCCATTCAGCATCTCTGCACCTAGGCTTAAATACAGAAATATTTTCCCAGGTTCCATCTCAGCTCACAGGCCTGCCATGAGCAGTTACACAGGGTTACACCTCTTCTCCCTACCCAGTGTATTGTTCCATGGCCTCCCAGCGCATCTGACAGCACCATACCACTTCTGCTCTCACACTGGCCCATTCACATTTTTGTCCAAGCACTTCATTAATGTGCTCTTTGTCCAGCTTCATAATCAGAGGATATAGGCAAACCAGACCAATGCTTTCTGGAGGCCTGCAGTGAGACATTAAAGGCTTCCAAGAAGCCTAGTGCTGTTAGAATTTACATCCAGAACATGGCTCTCACTGGCTTCACTGACTGCTGTTGAAGGCTAAGCATGTCCACAGGCTGTTTGAGGCTGGGCACAGCTAGTGGAACAAAAAACATACCCAGAGGCCATGTATAAAAGTTTTAGTTTGCATGGCTGGATTTCACTGTCTGTGAACAGCTCCATAGTGGCAGGTGTAGAGGTACCTAATTGCCAGGAATAATTGAAACACCATTCCATTTCCTCAACCATTGTTTCCCTTCTCATAGCTCCCTTTCCTCTCTGTACAGCACAGCAGAGCGAGGATCCATCCTGCTCTCCTCACTGAGAGCTTTCTGCATGGAGCTTCTGTGGAAATAATTGTACCAGGCATAGAATTGAAGATGCTGGTGTAACCTACATGAATAACTGGTTCAAATTAAGATTTCCAAATCAGCTTTAGCGTTGGTCTGTCTTAACACTAAAAATAAAGCACTGGGATGTTAATGTTCCACTAGCAAAGTTTTTTTAGGGGATTTTATTGTATGAATTTCTGTAAAAATTTCCTGTAGGTTGTTTCAAGACAACAAGCTGAAAACAGCCCTCTTCATCTCTTGGAGGAAGCATATTGGCATACTTATATTATTGCATATGTTCATGAAGGGAGAGCCTTATCCCTCAAAGTGACTTATAGTAGGGGCTGTTGTCCATGGGAAATTGGAGTAGATGGTAGCCCTTGTGTCAGGTTTCCTCTGGCTGACAGCAAAGGAAGTGAAGGTATAAGAGTGTCTAGTGGCTTGAGGGTTAAAAATTCCTATACTGCTATGAGTTGCTCCTATTCCTCTCCTTTTTCTACCTTCTCTTTGTAAAATACACCTCAACTCCTGCTTATTCCTTTCCTACCTTATGCTCTCTCCTGCTTCTCCTCTGCGTAACCCCTCCTGCCTGACCTGTGTCCTTTTGAGCTCCTGCTCAGCTCACAGGACCTGTTTTCCACCTGCACAGAAATCATGTTGTCCTCACCATTCTTACTGCCTAACACCAGCTGAGGGCAGCCCAGGGTGGACATCATTCTTAAGATGTGCTTTCTGGTGCTCCCATGAGCCAAAAAAGCCACCAGCACACATCAACTGGTGTTTTTAGAGACTCATCACTTAGCCAGATGTCCATAGGCTGCTGTGGGAAAAGATGTTGCCCTCAAAGAACCTGTAAAGTTCTAGGGCCTCTCAGTGAGAGGTAGCAAACATTTCAAAATGTCATTCCCTAACCACATTCTTGAGTCTTGCTGAGCCCTCTTAGCTGAAATTTCCACAAACACAAAAAAAACCCCTTAGTCAGGCATTGGCCTCTGATGGGAGACTTGGGTGCAAATTTGCCAAAGCCCTTTTGCAGGCTTTTACAATGGGAGGAATGATGAAATTTTACCATAGACAGGCTATGGGGGTTCTTCCTGCCAGTTGCAGTTTTGTCCTATGGTTATCATTTAAGACCTGGCTTGCATGTCTGTGGATATATCGTGCTTCATTTAGCAGGAAGACTTTGAATTTTCCAGGAAAGGACTGGTTAAACCCCAATTACCTAAATGTTTTGATTAAATTCACAACTAAACTCCGCATTTACTTTGTAACAGAGACTTAAAATATTATCTACCCTAAGCTCAGATTCCCCAGGCAGTCGTGAGGCACCAAAACTCCTGATGGATTTTCAACTCTTTGCTGGCAAAACCAGCTCAGTCTACCTGCAATATTTGAAATGGATTACCAACGTGTCTTTCACTTTCAAAGAGCTGCATTGCTATTGGGACAATCATATCATGTAAAATAGTTTCCCTCTGCTTCTCCCCGTTTTCTGTAAAACGTGTGCTGGATATGCAGTCAGCTGCATTTTTGGCAGCAGATTATATGACTTGAAGCTATTCACTAAGAGCCTTAGCCAAGCCCCCAGAAGTCAATACAAAGTTTTCCCCTGACTTCAGTGGAATTGTGCTCTCAGAGCACTTACAGGCAGGGCACAAGTGAAACCAATACAATTAAACTTAGCAACTGTATCTGGGTCACTCTGGCAGCCAAAGCTATAATGGTTTGGGGTTTTTTATTCTGATCAGTATTTCATATAATTAGTTTTATAGCATGCTGCTTAGTTTTGGGCATTTTTTTTCAATTAAAATTATTCAGGAGTAAAGGGATTAATATCAAGCAATATTATTTTTGCATCTTTAATGTTTGGTTTGGCTTTCAATTATAATCCCCCTCTTTAAAAGGTTTAGAAGTTTGTGATAAAACTCCATTCAAGGAATAACTGGAATCAGAGCAAAGGACAGACAACTGATTCCCCAAACAATTTAAATAATTTTTCCTATAGGATAAAGGGAAAATAGGCCTCTTGTTTTTAATATGCACTTCCATCAAAGGTAAATTAAATTAAAAATAAAACTCTGAAAACATTGTTTTATAATAGCTAAGAGAGAAGGAAAGAGTGACAGATCTAAGGGATCATTCTGGATCCCTGTCTTACATATAAGTGATTGGTACTTCTCTTGAAAAAGTACAGATTCAATGAGTTTCATTATCACGTGGTATAGTTGAATGTGCCTTTTTTATCCCAAATCTAAGGCATTCTTGCTGCTTGTGGATTAGACTGGAGCCAGACAACAACAATTCTAGTTTTCATTCCAAACTTCAGTTTGTGGCTACAAGACTGGTTAAACTGCCCATTTACCCTTAAGAGGTGACAACAATCAGACAGGGAATGTGTGGAAAAAGAGAAAACATGCTAAGTTCCTGATTCTGAAAAAAAAAAGTAAACATATGGTAACCTTCTGTGCTTGAATTCAAGGGGATTTCTCTTGTGCTTAAAATTAAATTTCTCTTTAAGCCTTTGCTGTATCATATTTTGCTTCGTTTCTTCATGCCAGCTGTTTGAGATAGGCAGGTGGTGAGATTTTCCAAAGTGACTTGGCATGTGAGACAAGTAAGCATAGGAAAAATATCAGATCCACCAAACAGAGTACACCTCCTCTGACACTGGCCATCTGAATGTTGGGTTTCCAGTCTTGCAGCTTAAGCCCTGTCTCTGCTTAGTGCTGAGAAGAGAGAAGGCAGAGGGAGCAATTAATTTCTAGGGCTAGGGGATGAATCACAGCAAAAATGTCTCAAACCCCTGAAGTTAGAGGAAACCTAAGTGACTGATCCAGACTATCTGTCTGGTTCCTGGAGAATAAAGACAAATGGAAACAAATTAACATTTCCTAAACAAGGTGTCCACATATTGCAGGGCAGTCTTGCTATGTCTCTGTCACTGGTCTTGCTTCACATAGCAAGAAAGACTGTGAATCAAATAATGCTCTTCAGTTTCCCATTATTGTCTGTTTCTTTTTTTTTATAATTGTATTTTGTAGGAAATATAGTATTAGTAAAGGAAATTATCTTTTGATGTTTAGAAATTTTTCATATAAACAGCTTTAGCTTCTAGTTTCGCATCTCACACATGGTTGCACCCACAGGCAGTTCTTATTGAATTCATATTCCTTTAAGCTCAGATACTGGCTCTGTAAAATGTATATTTCAGGAAAAGATAATCATTCTCCTTCAGCTCCTGTCTCTGTTTACATTTGTGATCTGATTCAGCAATCTACCTATGTTGAGCAGATCATACTAATAAGTGAGTTACTTTTTTAATGTGCACATTCCCAAACTCTTTCAAAAGTATAAGAATTTTAGCAATTTTAGGTGGCACAGTCTAATACTCAATATTTCCATTGCATACTTTGGGTCTCTCTTCCAACAGATTGTATCAAGTTTTAAGTACATGATGACAAACTCTGTGTGTTTATTCATTATACTTTGTCATTTTCAATGCTGAAATAAAGAAAAAAAAATCTGAAGAGGAGGTAAGAAGCAAATTGGAACTTTTTATCAGGTAGGAGCTCAATTTTGTCCTTTTTCTTCCCATTAGCCAAATGCAGATTGCATGGATGATATACCTCCAGACTTGGAAGCATCCATAGGAGGACCACCAACCAACCAGATCACAGGAGCCAGTGACATAACTGTGAACGAGAGTTCAGTGGCCCTGGACCCTCCAGCCCGGACCATGGGAGTGCTACAAGTCATCCAAGACGCAGACTTCTTTCCCCAGACTGTTGAGGGTAACTTCACAACAAGCAGTAAGTTCCAATTTCTGGCAAGATTTGCACTGAAATAAATGTCTAGAAACCCCAACCACAAACCCATCTCTAGTATGCGGCCTTTGAGGGCTTATCACTGGAGCAATGGCCTTACTTTATGCCCAGCAGGAATCTACAGTGTAAGTAAATTTAATTATCATGTGTTTTGCTGTACTGGACTGATGGTCAGAGGTCCTGTACTTGAAAGCCTGAGTGCAGTTAAACAACACTGATGATTTGTACAAAAACAAAAGAGAATTTTACGTATTTTTAGTGTCTTTAGTTTTCACTTGTGTAAGGTGTGTAAGCAGTACCATTTGAAAAAATAATGCTCAAAATATCTGCATGTCCTTCTGTTCCTAAAAATTATGCTCTCTGTTGAAAATCTGCTTCTGACAGTTTAAAAGGAATGTTGTCAGCTGTTTTGAGTGAGGACTGTGCTAGCCTAAAATTCTCCTTTTTAGGTAAAATCGCAGATTAGTAGAAAATACCTATCTGTTTGATACCAGTTGGTTTATTGACAAGACTATTAAAAAAAAATCATCAGATAAACTTGAAGGGAGGTAGAAGAATGTGATAAAATACAGTGTATAGAGTGTATAGAGTTTGTGTAGGTTTTGGATAAAATACACATTTTCAATGATTTCTAGGTACTGCTATGGGCCTGGGCATGAAAGAGAAGACAAGTAACAATATTATGTGTAAAAGGTAGGAGAGACATGATGGCACTAAGATGAAATGATTTTATATGTGGAGAGACTTGATAATTCCATTTTCTCTCATGTTGTAGCCAGTGTCATGGAAATGAAAATAACTTCTAGAAACACAGGACTTGTGACCTTAGATACAGGTGACCCAGAAATGGATTTTTTACATTCTGTTTTGTGGATTTGAGGTTTCAGGTTTGGTCCTTTTATGGTCTAAATTCTGGATCCCGCAAGGGGTGAGCAGCAAGGTTATAATCCCAGCCATCTTCCATGGCCAGCCTGCCAGCTGGGGGCATTCAGTTTTATCAAGTCTCCTTGAGTGCTGGCAAGAGCTGTTCAGAACACTATGGGATTTTGTTCCTCCCAATAATTGTTTTTAAATGCATCTAAGGCTGATTTAAAAAATCAAAAGAAAGATGGCACCACAGTGTAGTAAAGACTGGGCTAAATGCTGGTCTCTGCTCTGTCCTTTAGCACTCCAGAAGCAAGTAGATCCTCTCATGGATAATGGTCCTCGCTCCGCAGTTCTCTGCAACATCCACACTCTTAAGACTGGGAGGGAGGGCTGTGGGGTGCCCCTTACGCAGAAAGCTGCATGACACATGCTGGGAAAAGCCAGCAGTCTGGTGCAAAGTCCAGCACAAGGGGCAGTCTGTGCTTTTCATCCCAGGATCTTGTAAGGCTGAGAAGCAGCTCCTCTGGTTTCTCACCATGGGTAACAATGGTGTTGAGGCTGCGAGGGAGCACAAGAGCTCAGTAACTCTCCAGGCACTCTCTTCCCTCCAGATTTGTTTCAAGAGTTTGCAGAAGGAACAAATGAATTTTTAATTAATTTTCCAAGTTGCCAGCTAAGTTAAATAACTGAGTGAAAAGCTTGCTCAGAGCCAGCAGAATACTGCAAGGCCTATAAAGATGCTTGATTTTGCCTTGGTGCCCTTTGTTTTCCTCCTTACCCTCCATTTTTCCCCTTACCTTTGATAATATTGGACGATAGACCTGAAGATGGGACAATCCTGAGGGCTGACACCAAAGCCCATGGACAAGGATCTTGCAACAAGACCAAGCACACAGACAGCAAACTAGACTGAGCATCAGGAGATCCTCATCACCTGAAGAGAGAATGGCCATGCCCAGGGAAGGACTGGGAAAAGGGTTTTTTCCTGGTTATATGAGAGAGAGCAAGAGAAGAGAGCAGGGAGAGAAAACTGGCAGATGGCCGAACATCTGTGAAGGCTGTGAACCTCACGCTGTCAGAGGTGTGGGTGGGGAAGCAGGCCTTTCCAGTTGTTTTGAGAGGAAGGAAGGCCTGAGGAAAGCTCAAAGCACCTTGGGACCTTCCAAAAGCAGATGTATGCCTGCCTGTGCTATGGTTGTCACACAGTCACTCAGGGAAATCTGGTTTAATGCCTAGTTAGCTGCTGACATTCATTCATCATTGAAGTGTAGACATGAATCTTCATCTGGATTTCTCATTTAAAGGGCAATGCAATACATGAATATTTGTCAGTGATGGATGTGCAAGTTTCCTTGCTGTCATCATCTCATCCAGCGTGACACATTTTATAGTAGTTCCCAGAAAAGCCACTTAGTCCCTTTTTGCAGCAGAGCTGCATTGTTTGGGAGTTAGGGGCCGTGTGACAGCTATAGTTGGTCTATAGCTGCACAGATAATTTGGCCATGGCAGACAACATAGCTCATTACAGAACTGAAGTAAACAAATCCCCAGGTATGAAAGCGATAGGCTGAATTCAAGCTCGAACAAGGGGATCCCAGCCAATCCCTTTAAATCAGGGATGCACACATATCATTGGTTGGTGAGCTGGGTGGTGCTAAGATGTTATCAAATTGTGTGTAAAAGTGGGAAATTTGAAAGCCCTATAAAAGGGGGCACCGGACAATAAAATTCAACTGTTGCTGCATACACATTCAACTGCTGAACCTGGTGTGTTCTTGTTGCTTGCCTGTCTCTGAAACTGTGACAGGGCTGATTTCCAGCAGTTATGGGAATTTGACTCTCTAGCTGCCTCATGTGAATTTGGAGGGTTCAGGCAGTCTGAACTTGCCATTCTGGGCAACCTGAACTCTTAAGGCAGTGAAAGGGGAGCATCCAGGACCGTATATATAGTTGTGGTATGAATCCAAATGCTAACTAAATCAGAGGGCAACTGTAGGCTAAATAACCAGCTCGTGGCTGTCAGAGTAAATTGAACTTTATAAGTCATTGTGTCTGTTTATTGTATTTCTCATATCCAGAATGCCCAGTTACACAACTGCAGAGCTTGCTGAGCATGCCCTTTCTGTGAACTAGCCTGCCTGGGAATTTGTAAGTGATGACACTGATTGCTCCTACGAATCTTTGCTGAAGTTGCTAGGTTCTGGCCTCTTTATACAGCATTACTAATGGGAGCATACTCCAAGGGTGAATCTGTACTACAAGTTTTTTCATCCTTGTTACTGAATCTGTGCAGTCTCCAAGACTCCTGTGTGGCCTTGACATGGCCTCCTGCACCCAGCACAAGCCTTTGCATCCTCCCGCGTTCCTCACAAAGTTAAGTGGTCCAGGAGGTAAAGGACTTGCCACCTTCTTTCCACCCGCTTCTGCAACACTTTTCACTTCATTGTTCTTACATTCTTTTTTGTCTGTTGATTAATCATTCTGGTATTGTTGTCTTGGTTTGGGTTTAATTTACCTTTTTGTGTTTCCAGTGATTATTCAGAGCCAGCAGACCTCCCACAGTGTGTCTGGAGGGAGGGTATTCCCAGAATACTGTTCACATTGGGTAAAATTCTGTCTCCATGGTGGCAAAGCTCCTGCCTACTTCAGTGGGGCCAGATTTTAATTTCTGGAACTCAGCCAGTGCTTTTCCTCTTATTTCTGTTGTGTATGCTCGGCAGATATCTCACCTTCTCTCCCTCCCTTTTGCTCCCCATATATAACTGGTATCTGTGGGAGCCTTGGAAATGTAGTGTACTATGAACATGTAGGTAGGACTAAGCCCTAGGGTTCCTTGCTAAACCAAGACTCTCCTGTTTAGTAGCACTGAGCACTGAAAAATGGACCAGCAGTTCACTCTCAGCTGCCTTTTAGCAAGATTGAAGACTTCAAGTCACTTGGGCATTTCCACAGCCCAAAGTCTGTTCAGTATTTAGTATTAATGACTGCTCTCTGTGGTGGGATATTGTGTAGGATCCTGGGACAGCATGGTGTAATATATTTCTGTAACAGGTTTCTGAAAAGGTATTGATGGAAAAAGTGAAAAACTGGAGTTTTGAAGAAAAAGTATGAAGGGAGAGAGTGGATGGGGAAAAATAGTATGCAATACATAAGAGTTCATCTCAGCTGAGTTTACTGCTCTGACTTTTTCAGCTCTCCAGAGCGTATGAAAGAAGACAACCTAAGGATCTTTTTCCACAATAATGAATCATAGCAATCCGTGGTGCCTAATTTTTAGTAGTGAGTTATGCAAAATGCTAACATTTTTGGAAATCTCAGTGCAGGTGTGTGATGGTTTGGCATTAAAAAAAAAAAGTAGAAAACACGGAAGTGAAGGCTTTGAGAGAGGCTGCTGGGAGTTTCTTCTCTGCTTGAGATCAAGCCAATAGCTAGCAGTTTTCAGAACTGACAACATTTTAGACCACAGAAGAGTAAGATCACTTTTGTGAGTACCACCTTTTAAACCTAAGCCTGGGAACTTCTGGTTCTCCAGAAGAGAACCAGAGGAGAGGTAATGGAACTCCGGCTGGCCCCCATTTCCCCCCGTAGCCTATCTGGCCTGAGAGGAGGGGGCTGAGCCGGACTCCAGCAGCTCCCGGGCAGGGATGGAGACTGAGGGGCTTTTCCCAGCTCCAGGCGGGGCTGGGCTCTGCCATGGCCCCTGGCTCTGGGCTGGGGCGGGCCATGGCTGCCGACATCTCTCCCCACGGCCCACACAGACAGCTCCAGGCCGAAAATCTTCAGCTGCTTTCCAGCGCTGCCGAGCTGAAATCCGACACCATGAATACCTGCCACAGCTTGGTCCAGATGTTAACCCTTTCACTACACAGATGAGACCTGCAGATTTAATCGCTTTCCAGAGAGAGAAAAGTGGGAGGAAAGCATGATGGCAGTTTTTTCCAGGTGACTGCCAAACATGGACATGAAAAGCCACAAGAAAGCTGTTTTTCTTGTAGAAAATTCTCCATGGAATGACAAGAGAAAACTTCTCTCTCGACAAAGACTGATAAAAAATATTGTATAGTTGGTACTGCTTTAGGTTTTGTCTCTATGTTGTCAATTGGGCAAGGAAAAAAGTT